ATGGCAGTGACTAAATTGTGTTGATTTCAGAGTTCAAGGTTGGTTTAACTTAATTTGAATTAAGAATGTGGTGAATTTGTTAAAGCATGTGATCATTTCAATAGATAGATAATTCTATTTTTAAAAAAGAAAAAAAAAATCCCAGCTAGTGTTCTAATTGGTGAAATACTGAATACCTTCTCTATGAGATGGGGAGCAAGATAAGAATGTCCACTCTTGCCACTCCTGCTTGGTATCCTAAATCCTAGGTAGTACCATATTGGGGGAGGGGAAGGAGGGAGGACAAGGAGGCAGGCAGGACTGACATAGCCCCAGACGCTGCCCATACAGTTCAATCAGGATTTCTGGATTTGGTAGGCAGCATCATTCTGGTTCGAACCCTCCAGATGATTCCATTCTGAAGCCAAGTTCAAGAGCCAGTGGCCTGATCACTTGTGAATACATAAGAAGAGTTGGGGTCACAGCATAATAGCTTTAATTTTAATTTGAAGAAAATGCTTTTCATCTCAAAAGAAGTTTTGTTGTTGTTGTTGTTGTTGTTTTGAGTAGTGCTAAGGATCAAACCCAGGGCCTCACATATACTAGGCCAGCACTCTAACCCTAACCCCCAACCCCTCAAAACAAGGTTTTCCAAAGCAAATGTTGGCTTATTTGAGTTGGTACCAACTTGATGTAGCATTTCCTCTCATCCACTCCAGTAGGAATCATCTGTAAATGGAAACGATACATAGTGTGTTGTAATAGACCCACAGAGTGGGTGATCCTTCTGTGTCTCAGTGCAGCGCCACATTAGTGCTACATAAATGGTGATTTGTAAAATATGACTACTTTTTATTTAAAATTTGGGCAGAGCCAGGCATGGTGGCTCACACCTTAATCTCAGTGGCTCTGGAGGATCGAAAGTTCAAAGTCAGCCTCAGCAACTTAGTGAGGCCCTAAGCAACTTAGTGAGACCCTGTCTCAAAATAAAAAAGGGTTGGGGCGTGGCTCACTGGTTGAGTGCCTCTAGGTTCAATAGCTGATACCAAAAAAAAAAAAAAAAAAAAATTGGACAGAGCAATATAAGCATCTTTGACTCTAAGTCCTCGCTAGAAGTTACTGGGCTAAACTTCTGTTCCTTCCAAGGAAACCTATTTGTTAAAACTTTTCCCATTTTACAGTAGAAATTATTATTTTGGGGAGTCATATAATTTTGTATTTTTAACCTCTATTTAATAGCACCTTTTTTTAATGCTGTTTTAAAAAGTGACAAAGACTGCAATGGAAGAGTTATAACAACCACTATTTGTTGATAAAGTGATTATGTTCATGGAAATTTGAATTCACAGATAAATTATTAGAATTAAGTGAAATGCAGAATGTAATTGTGCCATATATTACCAGCACGCAGAAAATGAGAAACTTTGAAAAGTTCCACTAATAGTAACATGAAAATATTAAACACCAGAGATAACCAACACATGTGTAAGACCTCAATAGCAAAACTGTATAACATGGAGAGAAAATTAAAAAGAAATGAGTGGAAAGATACCTACTATATTCATGTTACTGGAAGATCCAATATTATAAACACTTTACTTCTCCCCAAATGGATCCATAGATTCCATGAGATCCCAATTAAAATTGTAACTATTTTGTTTTGTCTTGTTTTTGTGGCAGTGAGGGTAGAACCCAGGGGCACTTGACCACTGAGCCACATTCTTAGTCCTCTTCTATGAGATAGGCTCTTGCTGAGTTTCCCAGGCTGGTCTCAAATTTGTGACCCTCCTGCCTCAGCCTCCCAAGTAGTTGGGATTATAGCCATGCACATTTGCACCTGGCTTGAGCCATTTGCAATGGACATCAGCAAGCCAATTATATGATATCTGTGGAAGTAGAAAGGCCAGAAAAAATCTAGGTGGTTTCTAGGGGAAGAAGACCGTTTTGCTGAATTTCATGACTATTATATAAACCTGCAATCATGGAAACAAACTGATCCTGAACCAGGATAGGAAAATTGAACAATGGAGCAGAAGAGATGCCAAATGTAGCCCGCATATTTGGCCATGTGATTGACAAGAGAGGTCTCACTGCCCAACAGTGGGGACAGGACGGCCTCTCAATAAAAGGAGTTGGGATATGGGCCTTTTGCATGGGGAGAGAATAATCCTACTTCCAACCTCACATCATATGCATATTCAGTAACAAGTGAATTTCGAATCTCAGTGTAAAAGGCAAAACAGTCGATTTCCTAGAAGTAATGAAGGACAATGTCTTATTGGGCCCAATGTAGGACAGACACATCACAGTTCAACAAAAACATTAAAGACTGGCTACAGATTGGTTAAATTTGACTACATTGTGCTGAGGATACACACACACACACACACACACACACACACACACACGTCAAGTTTGATGGCATTAAAATGAAGCACTAATGGTCATCAAAAGATATCAGTAATTGCCAGGCATGGTGGCGCATGCCTGTAATCCCAGTGGCTCTGGATGCTGAGTTAGGAGGGTAGCAGGTTCAAAGCCAGCCTCATCAACTTAACAAAGCCCTAAGGAACCTAGTGAGACCCTAACTCAACATAAAAAGGCTGGGGATGTGGCTCAGTGGTTAAGCACCCTTGAGTTCAATCCCTGGTACAAAAAAAATAAATAAATAAAACACCACTAATAGAGCAAGTAGGCAAATCAGAGAGAGGGTATTTGCAATACGTAAACAACAATGTTTCTTATCTAGCAAATGTGATGCACTCCTATAAATCAAAAAAGAACGAAAACTCAATAGAAAAACCACCAAGACATGGACAGGTGTATCATAAAAGAATATATCTCAGCTTACTCAGGAGGCTAAGGCCGGAGGATTACAATTTCAAAGCCATGCTGGGAAACTTAGAAAGACCCTATCTCTAAGTAAAACTTTTTAAAGGTTGTGGGTATAGCTGAGTGCTTGTCTAGCATGTATGATGCCCTGGGTTTAATCCCCAGATCCCCCCACCCTCAACACACACACACACCAGAAGCTAGTCAACTGGCAAATAAACATATGAAAATGTATTTAATTAATTATTTGTTAAAGAAATACAAATTAAAACCACAGTGACATACCACCTCACTGTGTTAGGAGTGGCTATTATCTTAAAAAAAAAACAGCAAGAACTGATAAGGATATGGAGAAATGGGAACCTTGTATACAGTTGGAATGTAAATTTGTACAGCCATTATGGAAAGCAGTGTAGAGGTTCCTCAGAAAATTAGGATAGAATTACCATTGGATCCAGCAGTCCCACATCTGGCTAAAGAAAGACCTGGAAGAAATAAATATCTGCTCTCCTGTGTTTATTGCAGTTCTATTCATAATAGCTAAGATATGGAAACTAACTAAATATCTATCAACAGATAAGTGGATAAAGAAAATGTGATATACATGTACATGGAATACTATTCAGCCATTAAAAAGGAAATTCTGCCATTTACAACAGCACAGACGAACCTGGAAGACAATATGCTAAGTAATAAAGCCAGTCATAGAAAGATAACTGCATGGTTCCACTTCTATGAGGTGTTTCAAATTGACTCAGAGTAGAATGGAGGTTTCCAGGGATGCAGGGAAGGGAAGTGGAGTTGTTCTTCAGTGGGCAGAAAGGTTTGGTTATACAAGCTTGAGTAAGTTCCAAAGATCTGGCTTATACTACAGTGCCTGCAGTTAGCTGTGGAGCACTGCAAGCTTCAATGTGTGTTAGGAGGGAGATTTCATGCTGTGTTCTCACTATCATTAGAAGTAAAAACAAATCTCAAGGAAACCCTAGCACACTCTCCCAGGCTGACTTGGGGAGGGCAGGAAGCTCTAGGAGCACCCAGGGACCATCAAAGAGACACAGGCCTCACGTGGGGAGGCCACTTAGCATCCTAAACTGAAGGTCAAAGATGCTTTCCGGCCACAGCACCTGGGGTGTGTGCCTGGCAGGATCTGAGACCTGCACACCAGGCTTCTGTGTCATTTGAGGTTCCACACCAGCAGCCCCAGTGTGCACTGACACAAATGTGTGTGTGTGTGTGTGTACAAAACAACATGGGTGTGTCTCCCATGCACCATGGGGAGAGAGAGATGAACACACAGTCGTTCCGTGGATAGCATGTTCCATGCGGGCACGACAGAGCTCGGGGTTTGGAAGGACATGGGGCAAAGCCACGAAGACAAGCAGGAGAGAGCACTTGTCGGGCTCCTTGACCTGGGTTGGGGCAGGGGCTCCAGGGTCCTGGGAAGCTCCACACCTACACTGTTCTTTGTGGTTTTCATTTTTGTTTAGTGTACGTCACTCATGTCGCTTTAAAAGACAAAGGTTTATTTTATTGTTTTTAAGTGAGGAAAGCCGGCTAATAGGCCAGGTAGGTTTGGGCAAGACTGCGTTGTGTGCTCCTCTGAGGTTGTTCCCACGAGCACCCCGAAGCTCCGGGGAAGAGGCTGTTAGGCTGCTTCCTGGCTGGGTTTCCAGGTCCCTTCTCCCCTGGCTCCACGCGGTGGCCTTGCCAAAGCCTGGGTGCCTGGTGGATGGGCAGCTCCCAGGTTCCTGCTCACTCTTGGCCGTGGAGGGATATATGGCCTGCCACTCAAACTCCTCAACTAACTAGACTCACTTCTAAGTTGTGCGGAATGGGCCAGGACAAGGGGTTTGCCAGCCACATTTATGGAGCTCACTCGGCAGGTGAGGATTTGGACAGGTGGAAGAGAGAGAGCAGCGGGAAGTGGCATTTGTGCCACCACCAAAGGGGACACTGTAGGATCAGAGACCAGGAGGTGAGGACAGCTGCTGAGAGGTCTGCAGAAGGCCATTCAGGTGGCCAGCAGTGCTGCTGAGACAGCCTGGGCAGGCGGGGACCTGGTGTATGGGGGGATAGGGAGCAGCGTGCGGGGTTGTGGCCAGGTCACCTGAGGAAGGCATCTCTGGACAGGACCAGGTGACTAGGACCAGGGTAAGGCAGAAACAAAGGCACCTGTCCTATTTCTCTAGACTCGGCACCCTTCACAGACCAGCGGACCTTGAAGGAAACAGCCAGCTCCCTTGCTGCTCAGCAGCTCCTGAGCCATCCCAGTGACCCTCCTGGAGGGGCACCGGCCCCCCTGGCCCCACCCTCCCCTCCTGTGACTACTGCACCTCAAGACACAGCAGCACCAGCCGCCAGCACCGTGTCAGAGCCAGCACCAGGGACTGCCATTCAGGCAGGGCGTCCAGGGACCCCTCAGGAGCCAGCCAGTGAGCACGAGGCTCCCCAGCCACTGGCCAAGACTCATGATGCCCAGCGTGCCGCCCAGCCCCTCAGCATGGGCCGAGGACCTTGCGCCCCTGTTCTGGAGGCCTCCCGAAGTTCTGCAAGTCTGGGGGAGCCTGCCTCGGCCAGGGAGGTCAGCATTCCCGCAGAGCCCCTGCCTGCGGTGGCACCAGAGCCCAGCCCTCCCAGTGGGGGCCTGCAACCTGCCCCTGGTCAGCTGCCACCTCAGCTCTCCACGGCAGTGGGAGCCATCAGCCTGGCTGCCTCCCAGCTCCCCAGCCCACCCCTGGGGCCCACTGCCCCTCCACAACCGCCCTCAGCCCTGGAGTCCGATGGGGAAGGGCCACCCCCGAGGGTAGGCTTTGTGGACAGCACCATCAAGAGTCTGGATGAGAAACTGCGGACCCTGCTGTATCAGGAGCACGTGCCCACCTCCTCCGCCTCCGCTGGGACTCCCATGGAGGTGAGTGACAGACCTCACCCCGGAGCCCCTGGGAGGAGACCGGCCCCAAAGGGAGGCGATAGGGGGTTTCTGGCCCCACCACCGGCACTGAGTGAAGTGGCCCCCACAGCTCACCATACTGCCTCAGCCCTCGGTGAGCAGCTGCACCCACCCCAGGGAGGCGGTCCTGGGTGGGGGCAGGGGGTGGGCAGGCATGCCAGTTATGCAGGGCCTCCCCCAGCCACGGCCTGACCTGACCCCCTCTCTCGGTGACCCACCCATGTAATAAGAGGCCTCTGTTTGGAGTCTTGCACGAACGTCACAACCCAGCCCGACTGTCTGCACGGAGGCGGAGGCAGGGGCCAGGCCAAGGACTGCCCCGGAGACAGGAGGGGAAGTAGATTTGCAGTTGAGTTGCCAAGATGTCGGCAAGCCAGGCTCACAGCTCTTCCCTTTTGTGTTTCTTTCTTCATTCAGTTGGAAAAGTCGGAAACAGCCCCTGCAGGATGGGGCCCTGTGGAGCAGGAGCGGGAGCAGGGCGCGTCCTCACCAATGACAGGTAGCCGGCTCAAGGTCATGCCTGACCCTGGGCAGGGTCTTAAGTGCCACTTCCTTCCTGGGCCTGGAACCTCCTGCATCTGCACCCTTACTCTCAAGGCTTGAAGGCATAAAAGGATCTAGCATCTAAGAAGGGGCCCAGACATGGCATTTAGTTAATACCCACTGAATTCTAGAAGAAACTACACAATTGCACTCCAAGCAGAGAAGCTTAATGGGTGGGTGCTAAGATATGTAGGGAGCATGTCTCAGGCCCCCAGTGTCCCTGATGACCAATGTCTAAACACAGTGGACGTCCCTGGGCCAAAGGATTCTCCAGCAGGGTTACCAGATATCCACAAATGGCCATGGTGATTTTGGCTAGCGTGTGGGTGGGGCGAGGAGGGGCTATCCCGAGACCCAACGGGGGTTTCCTTGCACCTCTGTGGAAATTCTTTCATTGCCTGAACTCCTGAGTCTCCATCCTAAGTGATCTGGTCTAACCTCGAAGGTGCGAGGTTCCTCCTCAGCCTGGAGCTTCTTGGGGGGATTAGAAGGATGAGAATCGGGATCCAGCTAAGACTGGAAATAAAATGGATGTGTGAGAAGCTGGTGATATTTAGCCCAGAGACGGGGAGCGGGGAGGCACAGGCAGAGGCGGGAGAGGTCTGCCCCCACCTCCGCCAGCTGCCCTACCTCTCCATGGGGCGCTGGCCTCACCTGTGAGAGGTGTCCCACAGACCCCTTCTGCAGATGAGGAGCCGTAAGCCCGCAACTTGCACTCCAAGATCCACCAGTGCAAACTCGGGAGGGAAGCTCCGGGAGGCAGATTCAAGGTGGGAACGGCCTTTGTGGCCGTCAGAGCCGCCCAGAAATAAAGAGAGAGCACACCCCTTACTTCTGGTAGTAGGGAGCCCCTCCTCATTCTTGGAGTGTACAGAGGTGGGTTGCAGGATGCCCCCCACAGGGATGCAAAGAGGAAAGTCAAGTATGGCCCACAGGCGCAGGACGATCAGACACAGAACCTGACATTTAGATGGTGGGGGTGCCTGGGGGCGGTCCCCAGCCTCCCTGGGGCTGATTGGCTCTTGTGTCCTTCTGTAGCACATGGGTTCAGCTCCAGCCCCAACCTGTCCATGAGTTTTCTTTGCCACATGGGGTCTTGGCTCTGGCCGGTGCCCATGCATCAGCTCATGGGGCTTCTCTTATTGGCTCCTCATGGCAATCCCAAGAAAGTAGCTGGATACCATGCCATCCCCCACTCCATAGAGGGAGGACACTGGGGCAGCTGCAGGAGCAGCAGGCACTCCCTAGGCATCAAGGAGCAGGGTTGGCAGTTGGACCTGTTGACCTGCTTGGTGAGACCCTCCTAAAGCTGAAAGGCACCTGGCGTGTCATGTTGGGGTGCTCCTCCCTTCCTCAAGTCTGTTCACCATGTATTTTCAGTCTTAGAACAAGTCAGCTGGGCTAGGGGTGTGGCTCAGGGTTAGAGCACTTGTGTGCGAGACTCTGGGTTCAGTCCCCAGCACTGCAGAACACACGCACGCACGCACGCATGCATGCACATACACGCACGCGTGCACACACACACACCAGCTGCCTTCCCTGCCCAGCAGTGGCGCTCCCAAGGGACTCACCATGGCTCTTTCCACCGTGAGCCCTTCCGGTCTCTTCCCCCGTCCCACCCCCAGTAATGCTGTCAATGTTCCTACAGCAGAATCGTCTTCCAGCAACACGCTGGGCTGTGACAGTGACGGAGGGCAGGTGGCCTCAGACTCACCTGCAGCACCCAGTGCCCCCCAGGTAAGGGTGGCTTTTTTGACATGATGTTAGGCCAGCTGGTGAGCTCTGCCCTCAGCCGGTATTTTTCACGAAATCTCTTCATTTCCGCTTGTATCCAAGGGTGTCCCTGCTTCCGCAAGCCCCACATTCATGGAGCCCACGGACCAGAAAGGCAGGGTCCCCAGGGAAGCCCCAGCAGAACCCATGCAGAGCTCTCTGGAGACAGACACAGGCGGCAGCCGTCCCAGCCACCCGCAGAGCCACGAGTCACCTCGGAAGCAGCCAGGACAGGATGGCAGCTCACCGGCCAAGACCGTGGGCCGCTTCTCAGTGGTCAGCACGCAGGATGAGTGGACCCTGGCCTCCCCCCGTGGCACGAGGTACTCCGCCCCGCCCGACGTCTACCTGGACGAGGTCCCCTCCAGCCCTGATGTGAAGCTGGCAGTGCGGCGGGTGCAGACGGCCTCCTCCATCGAGGTCGGTGTAGGCGAGCCTGCGTCCAGTGACTCTGGGGACGAGTGCCCACGGAGGAGGCCCCCGGTGCAGAAGCAGTCCTCCCTGCCCAGTGGCGGTGGTGTGGCCAGCGACTTAGTGAAGAAGGCCACTGCCTTCCTACACAGGTCCTCGAGGGCTGGTTCACTGGGCCCTGAGACTCCCAGCAGGGCGGGCGTGAAGGTCCCCACCATCAGCGTCACCTCCTTCCACTCCCAGTCATCCTACATCAGCAGCGACAATGACTCCGAGTTTGAGGACGCGGACATAAAGAAGGAACTGCGCAGTCTCCGGGAGAAGTACGTGCCGAGGCCAGCGTGGGCCCTGTGAGCCGTGCTGGATGGAGTTAAGGTCCTGGACGGGCAGGCATTCACTTGCAGCTGCTGGTCAAGGGGTCAGGCAGTGACGAGGCCCACTTAGGCCCATCCCTTTGGCCGGCTGGGTGAGGAGAGTCCCTCTTTCAGGGTGTCCTTCACACTGTGCTGGCTTGACCCTGCTGCCTGCCTGGGTTCTGGCTTCTCAGGGGGCCACTCCTCCCCTCTGGTCCCTTCATCCCTCCAGTCTTCTTCCTCAGTCACCCTCAGGAAGGACATCTCTCATGAGACACATGCCTTCCTTCCCGCTCTCTCACTGTCTGTCTCTCTGCTGGTCTCTGTCTCTGTCTCTTATCCAGCAATCATTCATTGTCCCTGACTCGCGGTTGGGGGTTACTGCCACCCTGAGATGTCCTTTGAGACAGGAGGGGGAGCCTGGACAGTGAAGCTAGTAGGGGTGGCTCATGGGACTCCACAGTGGCTGGAAAGCAGGCTGTTGATGCTGTCTGGGCTCAGAAATTGCACGTGCCCACAGGAGGAGCTACGCACCTGTCCCAGGGCACAGGGAGTGTTAGAGACACTGAGGACTCGCTATGTGTCTACAGGAGCCATGTGGGGGTCGAGGAAGGGCCAGCAGTAGCATGGAGCATGGGAGATCCAGGGTGTAAAGAGTTGCCAAATCCTAGGAATGTTCTAGAAGGCAGCCCCAGCAGCTTCACCCCCCAGTGCATCCAGACAGTGGAGGGGCCCAAGCAGCACCACCTGGAACTGGTGGGAGCAGAGGAGGAGGGACTCCTGGGCACAGCAGTCAGGTGCACAGGGGAACTGAGACACAGCTAAGCCACAGTCTCTCTGCTGCCCCTGCAAGGAGGCCTTGTGGAGGGGTGGGAGAACCTACGTGAGCAGCTGGGCACCAGGGAGAGCGGTCCTCGAGTCAGTGGCATGGAGTCAAATGAGGGGTGAGGCCTAGAGGTGGGGCGGGCCTCGTAAGGTGGAAGCCAGGGGAGGGGAAGGGGGAGTTCCAGAAGCAACTTGAAGGAAGGGATTCAGGGAAATGGAGAGAGTGGGGATATGGAGCCCAGGGGAAAGGGGTGATCTTTAGAAGTGGGCAGGGTAGAATTTGAGCCTCAATCTAGTATAAAGGGGACTTGGTTGCATCTGATAGGAAGTAGCCAGTGGTCCTGAGTCTTCCTTGCCTCAGAACCCTCTGGACCTTGTTAGGATGCAGGTGCCTGAGCCCCAGGGTTTTGATGTGCACATTGGGATTTCTTAAGAAAGACTTTTTCTAAAGCAAACACGGCAGATTTAGAGGATGCAGGGGGTGATGTCAGAACTTGCTCCCTCGTGTCCAACCATGAAAATCATGTTTTCCCAGCATAAAAGGTGGGGATGGGCTGTGACCCCCTTGTTGGGGCAGCTGGTGGGGTTGGCACCTGGCCTCCCAAAGCTCAGCCCAAGGCACGGGAGGGTGGTGGGGAAGGCAGCCAGCAAGTCCTCAGGGAGACTCCCCAAGGGGCCTCCACCTCCTTCCCTTCAGCTGTCCTCGAGACTGTCCCAGCTCATGATCGTCACCCAGAACAGTGGACCCAGCAGGGCAGAGTCCAGCCTGGAGCTCCAGGCCAGTAATAAGTGTTTGGTCAACTCCTTCGTGTGGCACTGTCCTTCCTCTGAGATACCTTCCCTTAGCAGCCTTATGTGGGGCAGATAACTCACAATAAACTAAGGCAGCCTATTTCTCTTCACCTATGCTAGTGCTCTGGACTTTTGTCACCAGCCTCAGCCTAAGTGTCTATAGGGAGTCCTCTGTGCCGCCCTGGCCATCAAGGCAAGGGCAGTGGTTAGGATTCTGGATATTTGAAAACTTCAGGTTTCTTAGTTCCCCTGCATCAATGCTGGGGGCCCCTTGCCTTGGCCCGGCTTATATAAACAGTGCCATTTAAAGCCCCATGTGGCCCTTCAGTGGTCCAAGGTAGAGACACAGGCACTGCCACCCCACGTCACCTCTTCTCCCCCCACCCACGGGCCACCTCCTGCAGGGGAAGCCCACCTGCCCTGCCTCTCTCCCTCCTCCAGGCACCTGAAGGAGATCTCGGAGCTGCAGAGCCAGCAGAAACAGGAGATCGAGGCTCTGTACCGCCGCCTGGGCAAGCCACTTCCGCCCAACGTGGGCTTCTTCCATACGGCGCCCCCGACTGGCCGCCGGAGGAAAACCAGCAAGAGCAAGCTGAAGGCGGGCAAGCTGCTGAACCCCTTAGTACAGCAGCTCAAGGTCGTGGCCTGCAGCACAGGTCGGCCTCTGGGGGAGGGCTGCTGTGGGCCTGGGAGGGAGGGAGCTGGGGGACCCCCGAGTGAGCCTTGGGAGGCAGACTCGGTGCAGCTGCAACACCACCAGACCTGGAAGGACATTTGGGGTTCTCTTTCCTGATCGCCTTTCACTGGAGAAAGGAAGCTGTTGCAGGACCAGGGGGACCACCCCCACCTCCCTGGCCTCTGTGCTTGGTGCAGAGTGGTGAGATCCGTGTGGAGGCAGGGGCTGCTTGGAGCTAGGCCTTAGCCCCAGGTGATAGATGGCCAGAAGCCCAAGGTTGCTCTTCCCACCTGATCCTCCCTGCAGGAAGCTGCCTAGGACAGCAGGCTGCTTCCTCTGACCCCATCTGAGGCTGAGGTCAGTCTGCTCCCTGGGTGTGAAGCGGCTGCCTTTGGGAAAGGTGGAAGGATGGGGATGTCCTCCTGGCCTGGACATGGTAGCAGCCAGTCTCTGGGGCTACACTGGTCTGGCTCCAAGGCAGTGTCCTTGCATGTCAGGGGTTCCTCTGAGGCATCCTGAATGGCATTTCCAAATGCCACGAGCCCCAGCGTTCTGGGACAGAGATCCCATGAGCCCAAATCCCCAAGCATGCCCTGTGGGAAGGCATGGCAAACTAGCCGACCACACGCCGTCCACACAGTGCATGAGTCACACGCATTCATTGCCAGATCCCAAAGCCAAGGGGAGACTTGTTTGAGCGAGAGGTACACAGGCTGCTTTGGGCCCAGATGTGTCTCCTGCCCATTATTTGCACAGCACAGGTCCGGCATGGCACTGGGGACTGGGGGAGATGGGGCACTTTCTTTGTCCCCCAACATTCCATCCAGGAGATGAGCCATGTGCCCGTTTTCTGCAGGAGTCTCTGAGCTTCCCCAAGGTCACCCAGCAAAGAGCTGAGAGCAGACCCAGCCCACACCCTCCCCTCTCCAGTGGCACCTCATGGTGCCTGTCACCTCTTCTCCCCCCGCCCAGGTCACTTGTCTGACTCCAGCAGAGGCCCTCCCGCTAAGGACCCTGCCCACGCCAGCACAGCCCCGTGCGCGAAGGCAGTTCAGACCCAGCAGCCCTGCTCCGTCCGAGCCTCCTTGTCCACAGACATCTGCTCCGGCTTAGCCAGTGACGGAGGCGGAGCGCGTGGCCAAGGTGATTTCCAGCTTGCCTGTCTCCGAGCATGTGCCAGCCACGTAGGGCCTCAGTGGTGTCCCAGGAGCACGCCCATATGTGTAGAGTGGACCAGAGCCGCAGCCAAGGCTGCTGAGCAGCTTGGTAAAGAAAAGGGCCGGGGAGAAAAAAAGAAGATATAGTCTGTGGATGCCAAAAATGTCACTGCCCCCATCACCAGGTCTTGCTGTAAGCTGCTCAGAGGCAGGTGATGGCTTTGCTAGATGGGCCTCTGGGAAGTGGCCAGAAATGGAAGGGGTCAGCCCGATGACAGGGAAAGGACAGGGCTTGGCATCTTGCTGTGTTCTGCCGCGCCCGTTCCTAGGCACCGGCCGCCCTGCCCCTGTCCGCTCCCTACAGCGGAGCCCAACGGTGCTAAACACCGGGTCCTTCCAAAGTCCACGGGACGGCTGGGGGACGAGGGCTCAGCTCTCAAGCTGGGAATTTGGCCCTGAGGAGGAAATGCTCTCGTCAACGCTGCCGTGGACGGCAGCAGCTGCTCGATAAGGCGCTCTCCTGTCCTCACCATCTCTGTCCAGAGAAATCATGGTGACCGACGCAGGTGCCCCGCCCCTCCCCCCACCTGCCCCTCTCCTCCGGGCCTCTTCTCTTCTGCTCCTACCGTTGCCTCCTTCCCCTCCCATGGTCAGTGGCTTTGGTGCTCGGGCTGGGCTAGGTGGAGCCGTGGATGTTAAGTTACAAGGCTGGTGTGGCTGTTGGTGTGGAGGAGGAATCGCAGCAACCTGTACTTGATGCGTGTCTCTCTGTTTTCTTCCCTTTATATTCATTTGCAGGCTGGACGGTTTACCACCCAACGTCTGAAAGAGGGGCCTATAAGTCTAGTAGCAAGCCTCGTGCTCGATTCCTCAGTGGACCCGTATCTGTGTCCATCTGTCTGTATTTGTTCTTTTGTATTTTCCCACCTCTTGGCCCTTGGTTTGTCCCTTCCCCGCCCCCGTCTTCATTACCTCTCATACATTTCATAGGATGCCTCCCCTACCCCTTGCAGTCACCTCCTCAGTTTGAAAGGTGGACCCCATGAGCCCTTCCCGTTGAACACCACCGTCTGCCCCACCCCCAGCCCCCAGAAGGCCGTGTGCATGCTCTTGGCTGCGCCTGGGCACCAGAAGCACGTGCAGCGGCACCCCCGCCCTGCCACAGGCCCCTCCGCCCCTCACGTGCCAGGGCACTCTGCATTTCTTCCGTCACCTCATTTATTTGATTTATTTTTCTTACGTTGGACGTAGTTTTCTTTTCTGTTGCAATTGTGGCCAGTATACGTGTCTGCTGTCCCCCAGTTCCAGCAACAACAAAAAGATAACCCCAACCTTCTCTAGATGCACGGTGTGTTGCACACGTGTCTAAACTCTGAAGACGTGCATGTAGCAGGCCGGTGCAGTCCTAAAGGTCCCTGGAGGTTGTGACCTCTGCCCAGGGGCTACAGCCCAACACCCAGCTCTGCGTCTGCCCACTGTCCTCGCCCTGCATGTGGAGATGCTGAGAACCTGCTGCAGGGGCTGGGGTTATAGCTCAGTGGTAGAGCACTTGCCCAGCATGCGCAAAGCCCTGGGTGCAGTCCCCAGCACCACAGAAAAATGAAAGTTACAATTTAAAAAGCATTTGCTCCAGCGAGGGCTTCCTGAGACTCCATACACACCCACGCCGGGAAGTCTGATCCCCCGCACTGCTCCTCACCCCCTCTTCAACTCAGAGACATGAGACTGACATCTGTCCCTCAGCTCTTCCTTGGGAGCCTGCATCCTGCTTGGCCCCTTTTTCTTCTCGACCCAACTGGAGCACTTTGCTGGATGTGCCTTCCTGACACCCCATCCCCACCCCGAAACCTCAGGGATGAAGTCATTGACACAGCTCCTTGACCTCCAACAAACCAAACCCTAGTTCCAGCTTCTCTCACACACCCTAGGACACACCCCAAGTGCCCAGGAGTGCACACCTGCATGGGCCACACGATGGTGCGGCTTATTTTTAACCCACATGATGATTGGCAAATGAATCAAAAATTGTGCACTTTTTAGGTTTTTGTCTTTTTTAACAGAAAAATTGAACTTTTTGACAATTGGATTGGAGATGCTGGTTTGGGGCACATGACTTTTTGCTTGTACAATAAAGATACATTGTGCTTGTGGGGACCCAGAGGCCATGCAGCATTGCCATTGCCACCCCATCAGAGGCCCGTACGGATCATCATTTTCCAGGTGGGGACAGGCCGAGGGCACTGGGCCGCTGTGGGAATGCCAGTGGCTTCCTGTTGGCCTTTTTTCTGTTTGATGGGCTGCCCTGTTTGAGCCACGGTGGTGCCCAGCTGGCGGCACATCTGTGTGGCTTCTGGTCAGTTGCCGAAGTAAAGGTGGACCTGGTCTGGGAGGCCTCCCTTGTGCATCTCTCCCATCCTTCCGGCAGGCCAGCCCTGTCCCTGTTCCCAGCCTTGTCCGGGCCCTGCTCCCCTGGTGCCTCTCTTGCTGTCCCTGGTACAAATGCAGCTCACACTGGGGTGGTCTCCAGGGTTGAAGGCACCTGGGTATCTGGGTGTCTCTTGTCCCCTGAATGGCTGCCGTTGGTCTTGGGAATCGAGCAGAGCACTCGGTGGCTTTCCCGGTGTGTTGGGTGAAGCAGTGTAGTGACAGTGGTGTGACTGTACCCCTGAGATTGGCACTGCTTCTCTACGCCAGGTTGTGTTTTTAAAGGGTTTAAAAAGTGAGACAACATGGACAAAGGCCACGGAACAGAGTGTGGAATGTCTGAGGCAGGTGTGGCTGGTCGGCCTCGGGTGTGGTGGCTGCTGTCTGCCCTGGCCTTGAGCATGTGCTAGTGTTTGTCCACAGCCTGCCCCTTTCAGGTACACTTGGCTGTTTCCGTCTTTTCAGATGATCACACAGCCCCATGTACTCTCAGGTAGCTGGGCAGGCAGAGCCCAGATGGGCACCAGCTCTGGGTACTTCTTAGTGTAGAACCTGGTCTGGGAGAGTGCCGGCTCAGCAGCCAGGGTGGGCTGGAGGCCACCAGCCTCCCCTGGTACGCTGCAGGATGTAGCGGAGAGGCCTCCTGGCCGGTGTGCTGCTGGCCCCTGGGTTAAAGAGCTTAAGGCTTCTCGCCAAGCTCTCCATCTGTGTGTCTGCTGGCTCCTGAGTAACCACAGGGGTGACCAAGAGAAGGATGCACTTTGAGATCTGTGAGGACTGAGCACTAAATACAGGGGCTAGAGGGAAGGTCAAAGTCTCAGGAGCACACGAGGCCCAAGGTAGTCAGATTGCATGGGTCTGGAGGCCTGGAGGAGGGATGGGCCCTCCGGGTAGGGGCAGCCTGAGCAAATGGCGAGGAAGATGCCAGAATGTGCCCAGCTCTGTGGGGTTGTGGGGTCAGGGGTGATGCTATAAGGAGAGGAGGAGCTGAAGCTTAGGGACAGGTGTGGCCGGGGAGGAGGCGTCTGGCCCAGCCCAGCGCTTGCTTGATAAAACCTAGGGAACGTTTCTGTTCACTGCCTTCCTTAGTGTGGGACACCCTCACTTCCTAGAAAAGAAAAGCCTTCAGGACCATAAGATGTGCATTGTATTTTAGCACATGGAAAGGTCTTGGCTTCCCTGAAGCTCAGTGGAGATGCTGCCCAGACAGGGTCAGTTGAGGTCAGAGGGTGGGCTGGGGGACCATTTAGGGCAAAGCCAAGTGGAGGAGCAGGTAGATCCAGAGGTGGGTGCTGGCCCCAGGAGGAGGAGCAGGGAATAGGTTCGTGGCTGCAGTGAGTGGGCAGGCCCTAGGGGAGTGTGGACCCTGTGTCAGACACCCCCGTTGGCACTGGCCCAGTACCCAGCTGCTCACTCACCAGGCCCTTCCTTGTGGTAGCACATCCTTGGTTCTGACTTGGCACTTCCTGGGTAGATCTTGGTGATCTTCTCAGCTTGAGAATATGGTTCTTGATGTAGAGACAGCCCAAAGGGTGTTTTGTACTTGGACACCAGCACACCCTTTGGAGGTTGTGACAGGGCTGAGGTGCGGTGCCAGGGCCAGCCAGCAGTGAGGAGTCCAGGAGGGCTAACCCTTTGGAGTCTGTGTGGATGGTGCTGCTCCTGCAATTTTTGTGGACTTTGTCAATATTTGATCACTGACATAGAAAAAGCACATGTGAGGAGCTGCTCCAGGCCTGACCCACTTTTTATGCCATCTGTCCCCGTCAGACATCCTCAGCTTTGAACGCTTCGTGCCCGAGGCATCCTCTGTGCCGCCAGCCAAGGTCTGGATGGTGGTGGGTGCTAGGAAGTGGGCTGTCCGCCTGTGAGCAGCATACTTTGTTTCAGAGGACTCTGCAGGGCAGAGCAGGGCTGGGGCCTCACAGGTGTCCCCAGAGACCAAGACAGGGTCTGGTTTCAACCATCACGCTCTGGCTGGCTGTGTCTGCTCTCCCACTGCTACTTTGGGGACAGGAGCCCATGCGTGTCTATCCTGACTCAGCAAAACGTGGGGCATCTGGTGGGGACTTGTCCATCAGATGCCCTCTAGTGGGCACAAGAAGGGCAGGGCCCAGGGCAGAGATGCTTTGGGGAGGTAGATTCCACTCCACCTAAAAGAGGGAGCTGCTCCCCTGAGAATTGACACCCTGTGCTGAGAGCAGGGGTGTCAAGGGACAGGCAATGAGTTTGTCCAGAGGGTCAGAACCATCTGTGCCCCTGTCATCTGGGGACAGGGTTCAGGAAGGCCATGGAGGGCTAGGCCATCTGCATTCTGGTTACTGCAGTTCATGTCAAGGAGGGATATGGAAGGTGGGAGCTATCTGTGTTGTAGCCACCTGGCGCCTGAGTTGAGAAAGGCTGACCAGCAACTGCCCTGTCTAGTGTTTGTCCCACTATGACAACAGCCAGGAATTAGTCCAGGGTGCAGGGCCACCAGCCACATTGAGGGTCACACTGCTGCAGCCGGGGAAGGGGTCCAGATGTGACATATCCCTCTGTCTTAGGCTGTCTGGATGGTTGCAGCCTACACAGAGCTACAACCCCACACAGAACCCTAGGGGACATTGGTGATTTGTTGATCGAACCCTGCATTTTGGGTTTGAGCCCAGCCAGCAGCTACAGACCTCAGGTTCTCTCCCTCACTTAGGAAACAGCCCTTTTGCCTCTGAAAATGCTCCCTCCTCCAGAGGGGATCTGTCTGGACCCCCTGCTCACCTCTCTCCTTCTCGTCTGAACAGTGGGGACTCCAGCAAAGCACCTACCCCCTTTTCCCACAGAGACCACGCAGAATGGACTAAAAGAATCAAGTCAAGTGCATTTGAGCCAAGTTGCCAGGCCCAACACACAAAGCCCGGGCTGGGCTCAGGCCTGGGAGCCCGGCTGACATTTGCCTGCTGTCCCTTAAAGTAAAAGGTGCAGCCTTCTTTACAAGGAAGTCTGAGGTTGCCAGAAGTTGCAGTCCCTGGATATTCTAGAGTCTTGGGAAACAGCGCTAAGCAGGCCTTTGTGAGGAGGGTGTCCCTGAAGGGGAGGGGTGTGAGCTTTGGCAAGGGGGGTCCTTCAGGCTGGAGTGTCGATCCTCTCTGTTAGCATGGCTGTGTCAAGTGACCTTGGGGAAGTCTGAGCTCATCCTGGCCAGTCCCAGTTCCCTGGGACACTGTGGGATAAGCCATAATGGCAGCACCTTCTGGCATAGCTCCTGGGCCAGCCCCAGGTGCCCCCACCCCGCCAGGCCCTGCCGGACATTCAGTTGTGATGCCTGCCTGACCAGCACCAGACAGTGGGGCCAGATCCACTTGGTGGTGGTCCAAAAACAAGGCCTCACCCTGCCACTTGGGGAGTGGACTTAGAAAAAAGGCAACAGTGTCCTCCCAAGTCAGGGTCAGCCCTGACACGGAGACCCTCCTCCTTTCCTACTTGATGCCCATCCGGCCTCATCCAGGGCAGCCCTCTGGGATCAGGAAGTGCCTCAAACCTGCGAAACAATGTATCTTTTTGCACTTGGAAAACCTTCAATGGCTTCAGTGGCCAGTTAGCCCAGGCTGTGCCCAGCTCCATTTGCGGACCCCATGGCTGACTTTTAGCGGGTTTTCCTGCCTCGACCCGTGGGGCTCCCGAAAGCCTGGTGACTGAAAGAAAGCCAAGCGGTGTGCTTTGTTGGTTTTTTTTTTTTCTCTTTTTCTTTCTTTTTTTTTTTTTTTTCCTTTTTTCTCTCTCTCCCTCTCTCTCTCTTTTTTTTTTCCTTGGCATTTTCTTTTTCTGGAATATGCTTCTAGAGACAAACACTTCTCCCTGAAGCTTGGGGGCTTGCTCTGGCACCTCTGCCTCCTCGGTGAAGCCCGTGAGAGCCTGCACACTAACCCCGGGGGTGCCACCCCCAGGCCCCAGGCCGGGTCGGCCCTCCTCTCTGAACTGCTGCCTGTGTCTGTCCCTCCCTGCACACTGACGACTTTGGCTTAAGTGTGGTGGCGTGACCGGTGTGTGCTGTTCTGCCTAACCCTGTGGTCTTGTGTCGTTTGTTTTTCCCTTACAGGGTCAGCCCTGAAGCGCCTCTGCCTAGGCAAAGAACACAGCAGTAGTAATTATCTGGGTTTTTTACCCCCTTTGTCCCCTCCTCATCGCATGGGCTTTACTGTGGCTAGTGCGCATCCAGGTGTCCCGCGGCCGGGAGGCGAGGCCTGCTCTGTGCCCGCCCCGCCGGGCCCCCGCTTGGCTTCTGCCTGGCAGGATAGCTGCCCTCGGCTCCCCTGCGTGTCTCCATGGCTCCTAGAGCTTGTGCGGTCTCGCCAGTTCACATCTAACAGGCTTGTCCTTCTCCAGAATGTCCACAAATTACCCATCATTGATTGGCTCCTTTTCCAAAACCTTAGGAATCAGTATTTCCTTGAAGTGCTAAAGATGAGTGCTCCCCCGAGGAGAGATACCAGGACTGAATGGGTATTCGTCAACCTGGGCCACTCACACCTCTCTCTCTCTCTCTCTCTCTCTCTCTCTCTCTCTCTCTATCTCTATCTATCTCTCCCCTTCTCCTTTTTTATTTTATTTTTTTTTAAGTTTTCTTTCATCTCTTCTGGCTGAAATTTTCATGTAGAAATAGCTTCATGTGTGTGAAATCTCATCACTAATTTTCGACTGTTTGTGTCCGTGCTCTGTCATTGCTAGCCACTAAAGTACACTGTATTTCGGAACAGCTTGTTTGAAGAGATGGTCATTACCTATTTTTTTTTTTTTTTTTTTTTGGTGGGGGAGAGGGGTTGTTTTATTTTATAGCACAGAAAGATTTTTAAATTGGCTTACCGGAAGTTGCCAACTAGAAATTATGTGTGAAGGGGGGAAAAGGGAGGCGAAAGTTTAAAAACTTAAAAAGTCCAACATTGATAATCTTTAAAAAAAAAAAAAAATCTTCCCAGGAAGCAGCCAAGCTCTCTGGTTAGCAGAGAGGCTCCTGGTTCCCCCTGGCTCATAGCATCACCCCGACTGTGGCTTGGAGCATGGGGCACCCGTGTCAGGGAGCTCTGGGTATTAGTGCCTTTTATTCCTCCCTTCTACAAATGCTCTGGTAAGGAAAGATACCATTTCTTTTTTTTTAATTCCAAACAACCAAACCATTAAAATTCACAGGAATGCAAAAAATGCGGCCTGTGTAGGGGTCGCTTTAGGGTGGCAATGGATACAGATGCCCGGCCTTCTGCCAAGTCTTCCAGCCTCCACCCTGTGTCCTCCTGTTACACTGAGGACACTGAGGCCAGGAGCCCAAGAATCTGACCCTAGCTTCTGTGACCCTAGCTCCTGTGACACTAAAGCTCACGTGTCTGGTTGTGCTAGGAATTTCCCACACTCTCACATGTGAGCCTAGTGGGATGGGCATCGGTGGTCACAGAGTAACCTCTGAGTGGAGGCTGCCAGCTTTGCGGGGGCCTGTCCCCTGGCCTGGCTTATGGGATTGGTGACGGCTGCCTGTCTCAGCCAGGTCCCTCAATTTATGGAATTGCCCCACCATGTCCAAAACTGGGCAGCGAGGCCCCTTGATCCAGACCGCCTCTTGAAGCAAGGTGTTGCCCGACTGAAGTGAGGCCGTTGCCTGGGCCTTCACGTAAGAGTGATTGCAGCCAGCCCCCCCAGTGGTGCTGGGCGTGTGTGTGGCGTCACCAATCCTGGCCTGTGTGTGACTCCCCAGGGTCCTCCACCAGCAGCCTGGCCCCAGGCCCCGAGCCGGGTCCCCAGTCCACCCTGCACGTCCAGGCGCAGGTCAACAACAGCAACAACAAGAAAGGCACCTTCACGGACGACCTGCACAAACTGGTGGACCAGTGGACGAGCAAGACGGCGGGGGCGGCGCAACTGAAGCCGACGCTCAACCAGCTGAAGCAGACGCAGAAGCTGCAGGACATGGAGGCCCCCGGCGAGGCGCGGGCTGTGAGTGCAGGGCTGGTGCGGGCCCTCCCGGGGCAGGGCGTGTGACAGGGCGATGGCAGCCGCGCCTAGTAGGTGCTAGCACCCTATGTGTCAGATGTGCATCGTGTTAAGCACTTGGCTCTTGTGAGCCAGAAGTTAGGCTTCCCCTTTTACAGGTCAGGAGGTAAGTGACTGGCCTGTGGCGCTGTGGTCACACGTGGAAGGGACAGGCTGGGCTGGGGCTGGACTCCTGCGCCCCAGCCTGGCCAGCCTAAGCCCCCTGCCCCCAGCCTAGAGCTGGTGGGTGTGGCCTCACCTCAGCAGCCTGACCTCCACCTGCATTCTGCCCATCCCAGGCTGGAGGAGGGGGCAAGCATGCACACCATCCTTGAGTGACAGCCAGCATTAGACCTTAGCTCACATGCACCCAGGCCGACTTGGGGCAGGGCATGGAGTCACTCTCTGAGGTCTTGGCATGTGATACATTTTGGGGTGAGGACTAGTGGGAGGAGGATTTCCTCTCTTCCAGTTTTTGCGAGGAGTTTGTTAAGGTTGCTGTTATTTCGACCTTAAATGTTTGGGCTGCAGTATTTTGTTGCTGCTTTAGTGTAGGAAACACCCCTCTAGGAACCTGTGCTTTGAAAAAATTTAAACACACAGAACCATTGTAAAGTCTGTGGTGAACGCCCACCTGCCACCACTCACACTCTGATTGACATTTTGCTGTATTTACCACATATCTGTCCATCCGTTGAGGGTGAGGTTTGTGTTACGGATCCAGGGTTTTCTACAGTTTTAATGCCATTTAGATTTTCTATTTCTTCTTGGCAGTCTTGCTTTCCTGGCAAATTTCTACCTTTCCACTAAATTTATCTAAATTTTCAAATCAATTGCCATGGAATTGCTGATAATATCTGTTGTTTTTACAGTTTGCAAGATTTACAGTGATGCCCTGTTTTTAATTCCTGATATCGGTGATTTCTGCTTGCTCTTGTGCGATCTCTCTCTCTCTCTCTCTCTCTCTCTCTCTCTCTCTCTGCCTCCTCCTTCTCTTTCCTCTTTCCTTATCTCCTTAGAGAGCTCATTTTATCTTTGATGTTATTCGTTATTACAAGCTTCATTGATTTCTTCCTTATACATTATTTTTTATTTCTGTCTCTGGCCTTATTCCATTCTAGAAATCTTAAGATGTATAGTTTGTTGATTTCTAGCCTTCCTTTGATAATGTAGGCATCCAAGGCTATAAAAATTCCCTCTAATGGTTTGGCTGCATCCCTAAAGTTTTGATATGTACCATTTTCACTAACCTTCATTCCAAAATAGTTTCTCATTTCCACTGTGATCTAAGTGTGGGTAATTATTTTCTAACAACCTTCTTGCCAGTCTTTTCTAGTTTAGCTATGCTCTGAGATGTGCTTCCAGATCTTTGAAGTTTTCTGAGACTTGCGTTTGATCCACGTTGTCAACCTTTGTCTCTGTCCCTCGTACACTTGAGCTGGATCTGTTTCTTTCCCTCTCCACATCCACACCCCCCCAAGCTGCACTACCCTTATTTCTTTTCTGAATGGCAGCAAAGCCCTTGGGACCAGGCTCTCTATCAGTTCCACCCCTCTAATCCATTTTCTGTGGAATCACATTCTAGGACAAAGTGGGTGATTCTGAATAGGTTCCAGGGCCTGGAGGGGTCTGCACCTGAGCCTGAGCAGGCCCAGCTCTGGACTCCAGTCACATCAGCTAATCCTGCTGGTCAAACACTCTGCATTCTTAATAAGTTTTTTTAAAATTGTGATAAAATATATTTAACATAAAATCTACCACTTTTACCATTTTCAAGTGGATGAAGGGTTTCAGTGGCATTAAGTCCATTCATATTGTTGTACAATGTCGCCTTCCATCCACAGAACATTTCCATCTTCTCAAACAGAAATTCTGTCCCCATTGGAACCCTAACTCCCCATTTCCTCTCCCCGGTCCCTGGCACCTGCCTTTCTAGTTTCTGAGTTTGACTATGTTTGGGACCTTCCATGAGTGGAATCATACAATACGTGGTCTTTGGTGACTGGCTTATTTCACTTAGCACACTTTCAAGGTCCATCTGCACTGTGGCATATATCAGAACTCCATCCCTTTTTTCCCCATTATTGTATTGTGGCAAAGCTCACGTAACATAAAATTGACCATCTTAAACATTTTTTTAAACATTTATTTTTTAGTTGTAGGTGGACACAATACCTTTATTCCATTTTTAGGTAGTGCTGAGGATCAAACCCAATGGCCCACGCATGCTAGGTGAGCGCTCTCCCTCTGAGCCACAACCCCAGCCCTTCCAACTTAAACATTTTTAAGTACACACTTCAGTGGTGCAACCATCACTATCATCTTTCATCTCCAGAATTCTTTTCATCTTCCAAAACGGAAATTCTGTCCCTATTAAACAATAGCTCTTCGTTGCTCCCTTCCCTACCCCTGGAAACTACCTTTCTGCTTTTTGTCTGTTGACTCCTCTAGGTAGCTCCTGTGAGTGGAATCGTACAGCATTTGTCTAACTGGCTTATTTCACCTAGCATGACGTTCTCAAGGGTCATCAGTGGTGTAGCATGTGTCTCAATTTCCTTCCTTTTTGTCTGTCCATTCATCCAAGCACTGCCATTGCTTCTGCATGTTAGCTATTGTGAATAATGCTGGGGTGAACAAATACCCCTTCTGATCCCTGCTTTTGATTGTTTCAAGTATATACCCAAAAGGAGAATTGCTGGATCATATGGTAACTCTATTTTTAATTTTTTGAGGAGCCTCCATACTGTTTTCAACAGCAGCTACACTATTTTACATTCCCAGCAACAGTGCAGAAGGATTCCGTTTTCCCACATCTCAACCAACAGTAATTATTTTCTGTTTTTTGTTTGTTTGGTTTTGATAGTGGTCTTCCTGAGAGGTGGTATCTTGTGGTTTTGCATCTATTTCTGTGCTTAATAGCCATTCATAACATCTTCTTTGGAGAAATGTCTATTTGAATCCTTTGCTCATTTTCAAATGGGGTGGTTTGGTTTCTTGTTATAGTTTTAAGAATCATCCATGTATTCTGGACATTAATTCCCTATGAGATAGGAGATTTGCAAATATTTTCTCCCATTCTGTCCCTTTTCTTTTTACTCTGTTGATAGTATCTTTTAATACATAGAAGTTTTTACATTTGTCTTTTTTTTTTTCTTTTGTTTCCTGTTACCTTTGGGGACATATCTAAGAAATCATCATCACATTTAACATCACGAAGTTTTCCCTTCATGATTTCTCCTAAGAGTTTTTTAGTTTCAAACTTACATTTAGATCTTTGCTCCATGTGAGTTAATTTTTGGCTATGGTATTAGGTAAGGATCCAGCTTCATCGTTTTGCACATGGAGATCATTTTCCCTGGAGCATGTTTGAAAAGACTTTCATTTCCTCACTGAATTGGCTTATTATTACGCTTGTCATTACATTTTAACATTTTAAGAACACTATCTTACAATTCTTTTTTTTTAAATATTTTTTAGTTGTCAATGGACCTTTATTTTATTTAGTGGTGCTGAGAATCGAACTCAGTGCCTCACACATGCTAGGCAAGCACTCTACCACTGAGCCACAGCCCAGCCCCAGTCTTACAATTCTTGAACATGGGATTTCTTTCTAATTTTATGTCTTCTTTAATCTCTTGAACTTCATTCCCCTTTTTTGTTAATACTATTTCATTTTATGGGTATGCCACATAGTGTTCATACATTCATTAAGTGATGGACACATGAGTTATTTAATGCTACTGAGAACACTGGTATACACAGTGTACTCCCTGCTTTCAGTTCTTTGGAGTGTGTACCCCGAGGTGGAAGAGCTACATCACCTGGTGATCCTATGTGCAGCTTGTCTTTCTCTATCCCTTTACTCTCAGCTTCTTTGTGTCTTTATATCTAAAGTGAGTCTTTCATAGGCAGGTATAAACTTGCCATGGCCTTTTATTCATTCTGCCAATGTCTTCTTGTTCATTGTAGATTTAATCCTTTTGCATTTAAAGTAAATATAAATAAGAGTTCACCTTCTAACTACTTGTTTTCTGGATGTCTATAGGTTTTCACTCTTTAATCTTCCATTGGTGCCCTTTTAAAAAGTTAATGGTTTGTTGTTGTTGTATACCATTTTTATTCCCTTCCTGTTTATCTGTCTCTATATATTTTATTTTCTTAGTGGCTACCTTAGGGTTTTCAATTAGCATCTTGACCTTATTACAACCCATTTTTTAAAAATGTTTTTTTTAGGTGTCAGTGGACCTTTTTTTTTTTTTTTTTGGTTTATTTATATGATGCTGAGAATTCAACCCAGTGTTTCACACATGCTAGGCAAGTGCTCTACCACTGAACTACTTCCCCAGCCCTTACAACCTAATTTGAATAATGCCAAATTAGCAGGGTGTGTTGGTGCATGCCTATAATTCCAGCAGCTCTGGAGGCCGAGGCAGGAGTATTGCAAGTTCAAAGCCAGCCTCAGCAAAAGCAAGGCGCTAAGCAACTCAGTGAGACCCTGTCACTAAATAAAATACAAAATAGGACTGGGAATGTGGCTCAGGGGTCGAGTGCCCCTGAGTTCAATCCCCTGTACCAAAAAAAAAAAAAAAAAGGATAATGTCAAATTGGTTTCAGTAGCCTACTAACTCTGCTTCTGACATCTCCATCTCTTGCCCTTTATATTGTTTTTGTATAGACTGTATCTAATACATCATATGCCCATTAAAATCAATTTGTAACTATTGTATGATGTATTTGCTTTTTAACTCATATGGGGAAAAGAGGAGAGAAACTAAAAATATAATAATACTCATTTATTGTCTTATGTGACTATTTCTTCCTAAGGCTTTGCGTTACTGTCTATTGTCACTTCATTTTAGCTTAGAGGACTCCCTTTTGTATTTCTTGTGGGAAATATCTATTAGTAACAACATTTATTAGCTTTTGTTTTTCCAGAAGGCTTAATTTCTCTTTTACTAGTGAAGGATTGTTTTTCTGGATGTAGACTTCTTGGATGACAGTTTGTTCTTCCTGCACTAAATACATCATCCCTCTGTGTCTGACCCCCGGGGGTTTCTGTTAAGAAACCAACTGTCAGGCTTATTGAGGATCCCTCATAAGAGACACTTCACTTCTCTCTTGCTGCTTTCAAGATTTTCTATTTCTCTTTGGCTTTTGATAATTTGACTGTATCTCAGTGTGGATCTCTCTAATTTGTCCTGCTTGGAGTTCATGAGCTTTTGAGATGTGTAGATTCATGTCTTTGCAATTTGGGAGTTTTTTGGGCTATTACTTCTTCAAATATGGTTTTTGCACACCTCTTTCTCTCTTCTTCTGTGACTCCCCTAAGGCAGTAATTGGTCCACTTAGTGGAGCTCCCCTTAAGACCTCTTAGGCTCTGTTCACTTTTCTTCATTCTTTTTCTGTTTATGTTCCTTAAACCTGGTCATTTCAATGGCAGTATCTCAAGCTTGATGGCTCTTTTTTCTCTACCTCAAATTCTGTTCTGCCTCTCTAGTGAATTTTAAAATTTCATTTATGCTCTTTAGCTATTATATTTCTATTTAAGTCCTTTTATAATTTCTATCTGTTGATATACTCATTTTGTTTACATATAATTTTCCTGTTTCCTTCAGTTCTCTGCCAGTGGTTTCCTTTATCTCTTTCAACATATTTAATATAGTTCATTTAAAGTCTTTGTCTGGTGAGTTCAACCTCCTCAGGGACAGTTTCCATCAGTTAATTTTTTTCTTCTGAGTGGAACATTGTTTCCTGATTTCTTTTCTTTTAGCTCATTAAATTTCCCTTTGTGCCTAAACTAGTAAACCTATCTATTGAGCTTTTAATTTTGGTTATTGCCTCTTTCCATTGAAGAGCTTCTATTTGCTTCCACCCAGACCCACACATACACACACACACACACACACACACACACACACACACACACCTGCTATTTCATTTTTTTAAAAAATTTCCAATTCCGACAAAATTCTCAATCTTGTAATCTTCTTCACATTATAATTTATGGTTTCTGCTTTCTCTTTTCCCTAATTTTTCTCTATAGTGCCTTGGTCTTTTCTTTTGTGTATTTAAATATTATATATGTAGGACATTGTATTTAAAAATTTATTTGCAAAAAGAATTTGAGGCATAACAGTAGCTTTCTCATTATCATTTTAGTTTCCCCTTGAGTACCTTTTCATAGTCTTAGCAGCTATTTTCTGTAAAGTCAAGGTTATTAACCACTTAAACATTTACTTGCTTTTCTTTTTTATTGATTTGTGGGAGTTCATTATATCTTTTGTCATACATGTTGTGGATTTGTTCTGCCAATATAGGTGGTTGGTTTTTTTTTTTTTTTTTTCAATTTGTTTTGGCCAAAGTGAAGTGGAAGTTTTAATTTTTTTTCTAGAAGCTTCATAGTTTTAGCTGTTGCATGTAGGCTTGTGAGTCATTAAAAATCACAAGTGTATTTTTGTTTGGTTTGGTTTGGTTTGGTACCAGGGATTGAACTCAGGGCACTTAACCCTGAGCCACATCCCCAGCCCATGTTTTAAAAAATATTTATTTTTTAGTTATAGGTGGACATGATATCTTTATTTTATTTTTATGTGGTGCTGAGGATTGAACCCAGTGCCTCATGCATGCTAGGTGAGCACTCTACCACTGAGCCACAACCCCAGCACCCCTAGACCATTTAAAAAAAAAATTTTTTTTTTTAAATTTTGAGACAAGCAAGGCCTCACTAAGTTGCTCAGGGCCTCACTATTGTTGTTGAGGCTGGCTTTGAATCTGCAATCCTCCTGCCTTAGCCTCCTGAGCTACTGGAATTCCAGATTTGTGCCACTGTACCCAGCTGGAATGTGTCAATCTGTGTGTTTTCCTACATGCCTATCTGCTGATTTAGCACTTTTCTTTCCAGATGGAATTGCAGACATTTGTCAAAATGCCATATATGTGTAGGTCCTTTGCCGAACTTGTGCTTTTGCTCCCTTTAACAATTTTCTTGCCTTTATGGCAGTACTACACTCTCTTATTGAATTTTAACTTTATAGTAAGTATAATGGCTGGTAGGACAAGACCTCCAGTGTTGATCTTCTTTAAGATGTCTTGATTTTCTTTGATCCTTAATGTTTGAATGTATGCTTTAAATAACCCACTGGGGTTTTGGTTGGAAGTGTACAAGTCTGTTGATCAACTTGGTGAGATTTGACATAATAAACATGTTGAGTAAACTTGGCAGCTATTTATTTACATCTTTTTAAAATTTCTCTTCAGTGTGAAGATATTATACATCTCTCATTAGATTTATCCCAGGGTAGCTGATATTTGCAATGCTGTTAGAAATTGCATTGTTCTTTAAATTTCATGTTCGAGTTGTGTCTTGCTCGTGTGTAGAAATATGGTTGCTTTTTGTACCCGGTAGCCTGCAGTCTTGCTGGATTTGCTTATTAGTTGGAGAAGTTGGTTTGGCTATTCTTGTGGGTTTTCTGTGTACACAATCTTGTCATCTGCAGATAAGATAGTTTTCCTTTTTCTTGCCTTGACTGGGCACGCCCCCCAAGCCAAGCATGGGGGACTTGCAGGAAGCAGTCAGCATTAAACCAGCAGCAGGACTTGGCTCCAGTTCCATAGGGGCTCCTCGCAGGTTGCTGAGCAGACCTCCCAAAGGCATGTGGAAGGTGGTGGTACCCTCCGCGTCCGTGGAGACCATCCAGTTGGTTTGATTTTGGTGTTTGTCTGTTGTTTGGGTTTGGTTTTTCATGCTGAGGATGGAACCCAGGGCCTCAGGCATGCCCTGTGAGCGCTCTGCCACTAAGCTGCAATCTTCAGCCCTTCCCTTGGGTTCTTACTGGACTGAGGTGGAGTGAGTCCCAGTGGGTCAGTGGTCTGGCATTCCCCACCTGGTTATGATGTTTTGTCATATAAAACAGTTGATTTATTCAATTTGTTAGCTTTTTGGTTAGGATATAAAGGCTGTTCACCCTGGATCTCCTTTTTTGAGATAGTCTTGCCGGGTTTCTGTCTCACAAGGTGTTGGTCTTAGGGCGCCAGTGGCTCCTGTCCCTGTCTTTTAAGCCTTCTACCCTGGACAGAGAGTGCAGAGGACTGCCCTCGCCAACCCTCCCGCACACTTGTTCTGCCCCCGCGCCCACTGGAGTGCCTGCTCCCGCACAGCTCCTGGGCTGATCTAGTTTCTGGTAACATCACTGACCAGTCTGGTGGGACACCATGGTACCCACTGGTTGGGAGAGTGTGCATTGCTTATGTGCCCTTAGGGCTTGCGGGCCCGTGGGTTCTACTCCAAGGCCCACTGTGGCCCATGGACAACCAGAGCTTGTGTCCCGGAGATGGCCAGGATGCAGCCTTGGGAAGTGAGGAGGGAGAGCAGCTGCTTCCCAGCCCTTGTCATTCTGTCATTCTGGTGTCATCTTTAGAGGGTGCCCATCCATGGCAAGCCCAGGGATCGCTCTTTCCTAGGACTGAGACACTTCAGGAACCACCAGGCCACCAGAGGAATGCAGCTGATCCCAGCCCCGTGCACCTCCCTCTTCTTGTCTTCTTTAGATGGCCACACCTCGAGCAGGAATGGGGACGCCGTGTCTGGCCCCAGTGCCCGGCCCTCTGTGCACCACGGCCATCCCTGGAGCCGCCCCGGTCTTGCCTGTGCCCACACCAGGTACTGCCCACTCCAGCCTTCCAGCCCCACCCTGTGCACTGCCTCTGGGTCAGTATGGAGGCCTGCTTCCAGCTCCAGTGTCCTGGGGGCCTTGGGCAGCCCAGAGGGGCCCGCCGGGGGCTTGGGGCAGCTGGAGCCCTGCCCAGGTGCCTGTGCTGCCAGTGTTCCTGGGGCCACCTGCTGTCGGCACACCTGGCCCCTGGCTGCACATCACTTAGCCCTCTGCCCGGCCACTGGCCAGGTGGAGCACTCTGGACCCTTGGAGGAATCCTGTTGTGTTTTGGCCTCTGGGTGCCCCCACCACTGTGGGCACAGGCCCAGCCTCCAGGGGGCACTCGTGGGTGGCAGGACTCTCTTCCCCACTGCTTCAGACCCCATTCGCTCTTAGGTCCCCACGGGCTGCACTCACCGTGTTCACACCCACACTGTCTGTCCCTGAGCTGAAGGTTAGAGATCCGCCTTCGCCCTACAGAAGTGCAGTGCCTTGGATTCCCGTCTTCCCTTCCCTGATGGAAGAGATGTTGGGGGGAAACCCATTTATCAAAAAAAGTGTATTTCATTTACCTTTGGCTTCTGAGATTGCTACCGTGTTCAGATGAAGACATATGACTGGCTTACGAAGCTGAAGCAGAAGCCTTTAGTTTTCTGTTGTAAATTCCTTTTTTTATAAGAAAATTGAATTAATGACCTTGAATATTGAGGAGCTGCAAATGATAGGTCCTCTGTAGCGGGAAGTCTCCCTGGGCTCATTCAGTGACAGAGGGACGGTCAGGCAGGGTATGTTCCTGGAAGCTGGTCTCTCAGTAAGGAATGTCAGCAACCTTGACCACAAGGAACCTGCCAGAAAACACTAACTGAGCAAATGCCCTGGTAGCCTGCAGGCTGTCCTACCTACAGAGGGCAACCACCACCCCTCGGCTCAGGGCTTCCCCGCCCACTTTTCTTTCCTTTTCCATGATTTTCATGGAGGCTGTGATCTGTCCACTCTGACCTCCAAATCCCTCTCCAGGACAGCCCGAGTCCAGCCTGCTCAGGGGAGCATCCTCTGGAGGTTTCAGTGGGACTCCCAGGTGGGAGGTGAAAGCCCCCCTCCCCCGTCCCCTGGGCAGACATTTTCCACTTTCTGCTGGAAGACAGGCTGCCTGGAGCTGCTCCATGTGAATCGTGTGGTTCTGCTGTTCTTATTAGAACCAGCTGGATTATCTTGGTTTAATATACCATTCCATCAATTCAGTTAGATCTGAATTTCCTAGGGGACTGTGCAGAATCTTCTGCCCGGACATAACACCGCAGTTGGAGATTTCTGTTCTCTGTGTCTGGTCCGAGAATCGCATGGGCCTCTTAGTGAAGTGGAGGCTGCCCTCCACCGCCCTCCCACCCATCCCCCTCCCTCGCGCCTGAGTCCTTTCCTCCTACAACGACAGTGGTGGCACGGGATCCCCAAGAGCTTGTACATGTGAAGGACAAAAATAAACATTTTTGCTTGAAAACACTGTGAAACACATCTGTTTCTTACCCTCTGTCCACACACAGGCCAAACTGGTCATAGAGAGGGCAGGGACAGGTGGCCCAGGAGGGCCTGACCTGGGCTCTGCCTTGAGCCTGAAGCCCCCCTGCCCAAGCTCTGGAGGAGGGTGCTGATGCAGTTGGGAGACTGAGAGCAAGGCCCCCAGCGGGGTCAGCTGCCCCTAGCACTGCTCCTGCCTGATGCAGCCTGGGCCCTGAGGTCACTGGGCTCTGCTGGCCCTAGGCCTGGATCAAGCTGTTAGCTGGGCCACCATCACTCTGCTTCTGAGTCACCTTTAGAAGTATAGACAGAGGTCCTATAGGTGCTGGCCCCAGAAAGCCATGCTCATGGACTGTGGTCCCAAGCCCCCATTTCTCTTCCTGGTGGGCTGAACTCAGGGCAGACAGGGGCTCTGCTTCAGGCTCATGGGCTTATGGAGAACAGGCTTGGGGCTAGGTACCATGGGTTACATGAGGGTGCCAGCCTTCCTGATAGGCCTGGGGAGAAGACCTGCCCTGTGTGGTCTCAGCTGGCCCTCTCTCAGTGGCCTTGTGCTAAATGGCTTTTTTCCCCCTCCTCTGCGACACAGTTGGGCCTGATCCTGACCAACTGAGGTCTGCAGCATCTCTGGGCCCTTCCAATTAGTGGGGATTGCCTGTGCTGCCCTGCTGCGTTCCCACCGAGATACAGCACCAGGCCTCATGCCTCTGCTTAGGGGACAAGGAAAGCCCTGTCCCAGACCCAGCGCAGAGCCCCACGGCTCAGGCCTGGACCATGCATAGGGTAACACGCCTGGATGCTTGGGCTCAACAGCACTGGGAAGCCCTGTCTGGGCTTGGGAGGTCATTTCATGTTCCTAGATAGTCACAGGAAGATACCTAGACCACACGCCACCAGGACTCTGCACGGGGCATGACCATTGTCAGGCTGGCCCCAATCCAGCTTTGCCATTCCACCTTCAATTCAGCAGCCCCCAGAGAGTGGGGCCAGGTGCCCCAGGGCAGAGCCACACTCAAGGGCATCAGGGCCTGGCCCTCAGTAAAAGGCCAACACCTCAGAGGCCTGTAACGAGCTGTGGTGGTTTTGTTTTCTAGATCCTGAGAGTGAAAAACCTGACTGACCCAGCCCAGATGCCAGGCCCACCACGCATCGTCTAAGTGAAGAAGTGACAGACCTTCAGGGCCAGCCCACTCCTCGAGTCCAGTTCACGCTGTTTTGTAACCACTTTCTAAGCATTTTTTATTCACAATTGGAAACACAAATGTAATGCAAGAATAAAAAATATTTTGGGGGAGAAAGGACTTTGGTTTTTCAAACTTCTCCTTTCTGGTAGCCCCTTGGCAGGCATGTGATGCCAACGCAGGGGTGAAGACACAGGGAAGTCCTCATTCCCAGGAGCCTGGCATGCCCTGACAGCCTGTCCTCTGCAGGACTTTGGGGGCTCATCTCTAAGCTCTCCCTCCTAGTCACAGGCTTGGGGTCCCCTTTGCTCACATTACTCCATGAAGGGTGGACATACACACACACACACACACACCAATGGCACAGGCACAAGGGCTGGGGTAGAATTCTAGGGTCCCATGCATCAAAACTGCATCTTGACGTTCATTAGTTTTCCTCCAGTGATGGACGTGGAGTCGTTGGCAGTCCCCAGGCTTCATCACTGCTAGAGACCCCGAGACGGCCATCACATGGATGACTGCCAGCATCCCAAAAGGTTGCATCCATCACAACACAATGCCCAGCCCCTGGAATTTAAAAGTGCATCTCCTTAAAGAGCTGGTCAATTCTCTAGGACTTGGGAAAACCCAGCAACTCTTGGGGAAGTGAGTATTTCCTGGGGATTCCAAGGTCATACAATGCCACAATTGTGTCTGGAGCTCACAGTCTGAGGCCCTAACATGAGAGCCCAGTCTTGACTTATGTTGTTTCTTTAGGAAACAAGAACATGGTGTTTTAGTTAACTTGGGCTGCTGAACAAAATACCATAGACTGGTTAGCTTAGACAATAGAAATTCATTTCTCACAGTTCCAGAGGCTGGGCAGTCCAAGACCAAGCTGACTGAATGGTAGGTTTTATTTTGAGGGCTCTTCTCTTGATGTGGGTAGCTGCCATCTTGCTGCATGCCTGCTTGAGCTCTGGGTGCATGGAGAGACTGCTCTGCTTCTCTTCTTATAAGATACCAATCTTATCAGATTGGGCCCCACTCTTGTGGTTGCATTTAACCTTATTTAGGCCCTGTCTCCAGAGAGATTCACAGGAAGGGTTAGGGCTTCAATGTATGAGTGATGGGGATACGAACATTCAGTGCACAGTGCATGGCTTATTAAAGAGTTCTGCTCATGGTCCATTTATTAAGTAGGAACTAGCTATACTTGTTTCTACTTGCACATGCTTAACTTTAAAACTAAAGTCAGTAGCCTGGGGGAATGGTGGGAGAGGAATCAAGACATCATTGTGGCAGAAAAATTAAAGATAGAAATAAACCTGCTGCCTTCTTTCCTGGGCCCCTCTTAAGCTCATGAGATGGATCCCATGCAGCCCTTCCAGCCCAAAAACATCAGAATCATGGACTCCAGAGGACAGTGGCCAGGAGTGACCACACCAGGCCATCTGCACAAGAACTGGCCAGACAGACAAATGCCAAGGGATACAGAGTTCTTGGTTAGAACTCAAGCACACAGAACACAGAAGAACAAGGAGAACAAAGAAAGAACAGATGAAATAAATAAAAATCAAATAGCAAGAGGATAGACTTAAACCTAACTATATTTGGTGATGGTATATAAATGGTAGAATGACTTTAGTTCAAAGAAGTTGTCAGCCTGGCACAGTGGTGCATGCCTTGTAATCCCAGCAACTCAGGAGGCTGAAACATGAGGATCTCAACTTCAAGGCCAGGTTCAGCAACTTAGCAAGGCCCTGTCTCAAAACATTTTTTTTAAAAAAGGGCTGGAGATGTGGCTCAGTGATAAAGCACCCCTGAATTAGATTCCCAGTACCAACCAAAAAAAGAAGAAGAAATTGTCAGATGTGACTTAATGAACAGTAAAATTGAAGTATACATAGGCTGCCTCCAATACGCATACCTTAAATATAGGAATACAGGATAAGGTAAAACCATGGACAAAGATATACTATCCTAACATTAATCAAAGGAAAGATGAAGTAGCTCCGTTAAAGTCAAACTATGTAGGTTTCAGAGCAAAGTTTATTACCAGGGCAAAGAGGATCATTTCATATTGATAATAGGATCAACTCATCAAGAAAACATACAATTCTAAATGTTTGTGTACTTAATAATAGCTTCAAAAATATCTGAGGAAAATTGATAGAACTGCTAAGAAAAATAAACCATAATTATACTTCAATATCCATCTCAGTGATTGACAGCCCCAGTAGACACACAAGAGTCTGGCTCCAATATTTTGCTGTTTGACCACTGACAGCTTTTAAGCCACCTGTCTGTCTGTCTCTCCCCACCCCACTCCCCGCCCGGCTTTCTGTTCCACATCCGAACACGCTGAGAAGAAAGCCTGCGTGCTCTTTCCTTTGGCACCAGTCCATGAACTACTTCATACCATGAGTCCCCAACCACCTACCCCGACCCACACAGGTACCTCAACGTGCCTCACCCCTGACCACTATGAAAGCCCCAACTCGGTCTCCCTCCCTTATTTCCTCAACCCATTTTGGACCTTCTTGGGTGGAGATCTATCCCGTAAGTGACCATAATAAATAATCACTGGGAATATAGAAAACTTGATGTCAACCAACTTGGCCTGGTTGACAATTTCAAGAATGTTCCACCCACAGCAGAATGCATTCTTTTCATATGCATGTAGTTTGTGTACCAAAATAGACTATATTCTGGGTAATAAAAATGAGTGACAATAAATTTTAAAGGATTCAAGAAACAAAATGTTCTCTGACCACAATGGGATTAAATTTGAAATCAATAACACTCCACTGGAGAATACCTGAATGTTTGGAAATGAAATAACACCCACGATTTGAAGAAGAAATCAAAAAAGAAATTAGAAAAAGAAGTTTGAATGAAAATGGGGGAAAAAAAACTATCAAATGTCTGGAATAGTGCTAAAGGAGATTCATAGCATGACGAGCCTATTTTGGAAAGGAAGGAAAGTTCAGTCGATGACCTCATCTTCCACTTTAAGAAGCTAGCCAAAGAGAAATGAAATCCAAAGCAGACGATATTGGGCAGTAAAAGTCAATAGAACAGAAAAACAATAAGAATATCAATGACACAAAAAAATTGGCACTGAAGAAATAATAAAACTGAAAACCACTAGTCAGATGGGTCAGGAGAAGAGAGAAGGCAAAAGGATACATATTACAAGGGAGGCTAGATCAAGACCGTCCACAGATATTAAAAAAGAATTAGAAGGGAATACTATGAGAACCACATGCCAATAAATTTGAGAGCTTAGATGAAATGTGCAAATTACTTTAAAGACACAAATTACCGAAGCTTAGTCAAGAAGCAGATAATTTGATTAATGAGCTAATTAATCATTTGATTAGCTCTATGTCTATGAAATAAAATTTTAAAAAAATTTATCCTTTAGTTATAGTCGGACACAATACCTTTATTTATTTATTATGTGGTGCTGAGGATCGAATCCAGGGACTCACACGTGCTAGGTGAGTGCTCTATCGCTGAGCCACAACCCCAGCCCGAAATAAACTTATTTTGTAGTTAAAAACCATCCCACAATAATGGAAGGACAGAAACTAATCTGACCTAACTTCCCAGTATACATATGTGACTGTACCACAGTGAATCTCACCATCATGTAAAGCTACAAGACGCTAATTAAAAAAAAAAAAAAAAACTATGAATAAATAGATCAGTAGAGTAGATGATACGGAGGAAAGGACCAAAAGTACTGGGGACTGAATTAGAGCAAATTATATTCCATAATTTTATAATTATGTCAAGGTGAATCCTAATGTTGAGTATAACTCCATTTTAAAAATTCCATAAAGAAAGCTCCAAGTGTGGATGGCTTCTTTGGTGAATTCCCTATATCTTTAAAGAAGAAACAATGCCAATTCTGTATAAACTCTTTCAGATAATTCTGCTGCCTTCATTCTATGACAAAGACATTTCAAGGGAGTGAAGTTGGGGGACAAGTCCCAGAGCCCAATGTCCCTCACAAACCTAGATTTTAAAATTCTAAACAAAATATTAGCAAATTGAAGCAACGATACATGAAAAGGTCCATACCTCATGACTAAATGGGATTTGCTGTAGGAATTAGTGGGAGTTTTAACTTTCAAAAATCAATATACTGGGCACAGTGGCACATGACTGTAATCCCAGTCACTAGAGAAGCTGAGGCAGGAGGATGACAAGTTTGAGGCCAAGCTGGGGAACTTAGCAAGATCCTGTCTGAAAATAAAAAGGGCTGGAGATGAACATACTTTATATACAAACAGAGGTATGAAAAATTGTTCTATATGTGTGATAAAAATTGTGATGCGTTCTGCTGTCATGTATTTAAAAATTAAAACCAATTAAAACAAAACAAAAAAAGGGTAATATCTAAATATGGAAAGATTAGGGGAAAAAGGGCTGGAGATGTAGTTCAGTGGTAGAACATCTCGTGTTTCAATTACTAGTATGGAAAAAATAATCAAAATCACTATATTTAATTAAAAAAATTTTTTTTGGTACTAGAAATTGAACCTAGGGCACTTTACCACTGAGTTACATTCCCCTTTTACATATATCTTTTTCTTTTTTAATTTTTTTTAAAATTTTTGAGGCATGATCTCACTAAGTTACCCAGGTTGGCTTGAACTTGAGATCCTCTTGCCTTAGTCTCCCAAATTGCTGGGATGTCAGGTATGCACCACCACATCCAGTCAGCATTACCATTTATAATAACACCAAGGAGTGTTATTATATTTAGGGATAAACAGCTAAGAGAAATTTTAAAAAATTTAAATAAAAAATTAAATGAAGAGACATGCTGACTTCACGGGTTGGAAAACTCAGCATTGTTCAAATGTCAATTCTCCCCGCAAACTATCTACAGATTCAATGTAAAACAAACCCAGCTCCCAGCAGGCACTTTTGAAGAAATCAGCAA